AGTCGATACGTCCAGTTATTATATCGTATCTTCGCCCCCGCCCGCGATCTCACCTCAAACTGTCCCTCTCGAAGGCACGTCTTAGTCTCTTGAATTCTCTCTCGTCTGCTGCTATGCTGGTATTCTCAGCTGCTATGCCGTTGGCGTGAGTAATTCCAGCGTAGTGTCTCTCTGTTCCCCCCTGCTCTAGTTCTCTTGCTCGTTTCCCAGGACATAGATTTGTGGATTCGACGGCAGTAGAACTGTTTAGGGAAGTGGTTGCATATGCTATGGGTGCGCTGCTCAGTGATTGGGGGACAGTCGAGTAGAATACGGACATGCTGAGTGTGAGAGAGAGAGGGAGGGAGGCAGAGAGAGAAAGTGTTATGTTGTAGACCGATTATTATTATTATTATTATTGCGTAAGCCTTTGCTAAAAACTAATAACTGATTATAATTGGTTGATCTCTAATCTATATATTATGATTATGATCGACCAGCCAATGTATTGTGAAGATGCAAGGATGACAGCACTGCACTGAGACGCTAAATATAAAGAAAGCTTACTTGCATGAAAGAGTATTTCTCGTTAGTTTGCGACTAGAATACTTGTAATGTAAATTGAGTTAACATTGTTGTTTTCATAAATTCGCTTCGACTGCTGTCAGTTGTGATATCTACCCAAGGTAGTTCAAATCCTACTGTCTTGTTCTTGTTTCAAACAAAGATAATTTATTCGCTGAGGTGGGAGGGAAAAGCGAATCACAATGACAAACAGTGTGTAGGACTTTTTAGTTCTACTCTTTTTACCCTGGGGCGTTTTTAAACTGTTACACTGTATCACGACCGTCATGTAAAACTTTCTCATCAGAATATCGTTATTTTCTCACGAAAAAAAAATGAATGATAATTGCAATTACGAAGCGACGAGTTCGAAAGAAAGAAGGAAAAGAAAGCACGGAACGAATATCGATTACAAATGTATGATTACTTAAGCAATGCTAACGATGTGAGAAGGAAAAAGGGGGGGGGGGCGAAGATACGATATAATAACTGGACGTAAGACAAATTGATAATGTCAAGACTTGGCGAAAGAATTAATATCGAACTCGATAATGACGCTTTTCTGTTTTCCACAGATAATGTCAAATGCTTACTAATCGTAGTCAAAGAAAGTTTTTGTAAATCTGAAAACGTTCTCAGAACGGCGATAACCGATGTCTGTAAACGGATGTCAGTTATCCCATATAGCCGATGTCAACAAATGACACGAGTCGATACGTCCCCAAACAACGTGTTGGGAAGGAAATTATCATTATCATTATTTTTTGTTATTATAGAGTGCATACGATAATCACGCAGCAAGACCGTGCGCTCTTTGTAACCACCCCTTCGTACTGATGATGCCTGACTTAAAGTCGATTTTTAGATGTCACTGGCATATGTGTCATGTGATTTGATTTTTATGATGTCAAATCCAACCATTAATTAAGTTTTAAAAAAAACATCCTTTATTGAGTAACAAAACTTTACATTTGTTCCACTTTGACTTTAATTAAGAGGAATTGGATAATTTGATGAATAAAAATAGCATCTGTGATCAAATGGACACAGCATGTGTGCCACTATTACTATCATCTCGTAAATAATTTTGGATAGCGTACTAATACAGTGTTTCATCATCATCCCAAACGCAAATGAGATTCATTGAAAGACTCGCTCCATGCTCTGTCATTTGCTCATTCTGAATATTGACAAGAGTCGTATTTATTCTTTCAAAAAAGCGGATAATTTCTTATTTATTTAGTGATGACGCATTAATTGAGGGGGTTTTTCGGCCATGAAGATCTTACCTTATAACGTAATTTTAACATTACGGACAGACTGTCGTACAAGTCGTACAAATTTCCAATACTAATAACCAAGTCACTGCATACTTAACCTACCCATTCATAATCTTTGTCTTCGTTTGTGTTAACCTGTTCCGTTTTTTTTTCTTGTTCTTTGAAATATGAGAAATCCTATTGGTCCGGTTCAGGGGGTAAGTTGGTCTTTCGGAGTATTTACCGTTATGATGATTGAACTTTGAATGGGTATAGTGATTACGACACAGTCGCATCGTAATGATGCTGTTTGTATGACACTGCAAAATATTTGATTGGATAATACGGTTACCCGACTTTAGCTGTGTGTTACGCAAAGCGTCAATAACTTTGTCTATTTTTGTTAAATGTGTAACCCGTGCAAAGGTACGTGCGCAAGTTGTTTAAAAAAAATAATATAAAAAATGGACCAACAGTTGAAACATAAATTCTCCTATCTTTGCTTTTGTTACGACATAAACGTATATCTCATGTCACATTCTTTTTATTATAATTAACATTTATGGATGAAGGAAACTCTTGTATAATTAATTAACATTAATTTTTACTTTACCCACCAAAGAAAAAAAATAATAACGTATCTCGATAATCAAGGTTTGAGCAACATCTCCCCTCCACCCCTTTGATTTTTTCATCTAATGGGGACGTTTTCACGAGGATTAGCCAATTCGGTAAAAACAAAGAACTCTATCATAGACTCCGTGAAAGATGTTCTATCCTGGTGATTAGTAAGCATTACAATTTTGTTGATAGAAACTAATTGGCCCTTTTATTCGCAGGCCCCTTTCGTTGGGGGCACAGTATCTCAAAGTTTGATGATTTTAATATGATATGCATAAAGTTGATAAATAGTTATTGTATCACACAGTCGTCGTCGTTGGTTATTGTACAAAATAATGTTTTATTGAAAAAAGAGAAAAAAAAATATGTATGTATATTTATGTATATCTGTAAATATTTATATATCGTAGTAGTTATACTTGATATCAAACAACGGCTAATTAAAAATGTGCATATCGAATACAAATAAAAAGTTATTGAATGCTTAATAAACAAATTAAACCAAAATAAAAATGAATTGTATTGTAAAAATTATACATATAATACTTGAATCCGCATATAATGCTTAGCGTAATGTAAACGTAAAAAAAGTAAATGCAAAACCATAAAACCCATATACTAATTTATGTGACTCATAAACCAAATTATGCTTCCAGCATAACGTTTTGTCCTATTTGTCCATGGACGAATCCTCCTTGTCCATCAAACACTGGATAATAAACCTTGTGCCAATCATGTCCTACTACACCAACTACACCAACTACACCAACTACACCGGGGACGCTAATTTCATTGTTGAATGAAGGCAGCAGGGTAGACGACGAGGAACAGTCGGAATGTACAGTGACAAGATTTTGCGGTTGTATAATATTATCAAAATACGAGGCTTGGTGACTGCCGTGCGGTAAGTCAAATTGTTGCAAATCCACTATCTGATCGTACTCTGTCTTTTCTTGTACTTTTCTTCTTTTATTTTTTCTGCATCCCGTGAATTGCCCGTTTCCCATATCTTTAAACACCCATTTTTCCTTTCGATCCTGTCTTCGTTTTGGATGATAACTGTAGTCGGGATACTTGTCTCGATGGAATTGCTTTGCCAATTTTGAAAGTGCCCTAAAGTAATCTTTGACGATATCAGGCAGGCTCCGCCAATATTCTCTGGCCATTTTAGATATCTCTGAAACGCTATAAGCTCTGTCGGTACGTTGGCGAATATAACACTCGTAATTGCGTCTAAATAGCACCCAATTGTTCTGAGGTCTTGGTATTTTTTTGCCATCGTTTGTGCGTGCTGCCGGATCAATGAGTTTGTCGATAGGTATTGTAAGTAAAAATGGTGGATGGAATAACAAATTGTAATCCGATTGAGTCAGATTGTCGATGGTTGTAAAACACATTGTAATAATAAAAGAGTCTATGATCTTTAACTCGGCGTGTTGATAATAGATGTGAGTCGATGTAATGTTGAAATACCGGGTTCGCGTTGGCTTCAGAGAGAGCGA